CCCCATGAGATATAGGTGAGTAATTGAAGCACTAATATGCATCAGGTAATTAAAAAAACATGAAGGATCTTCCACTACAAATGAAATCTTAGTTGTCAACTTGATACATACAACAAATCCTTTATAGTGCTCAAAAAAAATCATAAAAAACGAAATCCACCTTATCAACCTGATACATTTACAAACGTTAGAGATGTGACCTGCCCAAATTTGATATAGTCCACAAGGTTAAAAAAAAAAGGCTGGAATTTGAAGTGTTAACCATATGAGATTAATCTTGAAATGACCCATTCAAGTCAACTCGACGTGGCACGCCATTCTCGTCAAGCAAAAATTAGGTTAATTAAATTCAAAATTATAGCTAGGTTCAGATAAAGTAACATTTTCTTTTTCTATATATCCAAATGATAATCTTCCTTCAAACGTTTTCACATTTGTCTGAAATCCGTCATTCTATCCTTCAATTTAGACAATTTCTCATTACAATAATATATCCTGTCAATAATTCTTCTATGTAAAATCAACATTGCCATCGAAACCTCTCAAATCGCGGGCGTAATTGAAACCCTAATCAGAAATGTGTAACCCTAGCTAGAAATCCGTCATATTTGGCTTCAGTGTCTTCTTCACTACAAACTAAGAAATTAAGCCCAACAAGTAATGACGGTCACTCTTTCCTAATATATATTAAATTCTTAATAGTGGACATCTATAATGAATGCTATTTTCAATCGATGCTTGGAGATGATGAAAATGCTTGAGGAAAGGCAAAAACTAACTGAAAAAAATTGCAATTTAATTAGTTGAAATTGCCACAAAAATAAATACAAAATTTGAATGCATTAATCCAAAACTTAATTCAAGAACCAAACCTAGCTAGTTAAAGTTACAATGCTTCAAAAGCAGCTCCAATGGCAAAGATGTCATAATCTACCCATGAACTACACTTTCCATCCATGCAGCAGCCACACTCTTCCCACTTTCTATCATTTTTCCTTCTCTTTATTGATGCCAGTGCAGATTCTTGAATTTTCATTCCTATTTGCACTGCAGCTGGCTTAGCTTCTTCATCTACCCATTTATTATCTTTTGGGATCATTACAACCCAATTTTCAATTTCCTTATTTTGCGATAAAATAACATTTTTCCACGGAATCTCAGCTCTTCCCAAGAGTTTTGAGCCGTTGATTCGACCAATGAATGGTGCAGTGCTTTTCCACCGGAGCTCGAAAACTACACTTTCTTGTTTGAGCAAGGAAATGGAGTCCTCATCACTTCCCGAGCAGTCTAAAGAGAAAGTTTTATTCCAAATCAAATCAGATTTTGTTGGGATTTGTTGGGTGTTTATTTGGACTCTTTTGTTGTTTCCTGCAGAAAGATAGCATCTAACAAATACTTCTCCCTGGTGTTTGTGATCTATATTTTTAGCTCCAATGATTCTGATTTCACAGCTTATCGAAGAAGAATAAGACTGATACCCCATATCTGTGTGTGAATGCGAGAGAGAGTTCTTTTTGATGATGAGAATTACTGTGTTTCTTGGTGGGCTAGAGACAGATCTAGAGAGTTTAGATGAAGAGAAGGGCATTGCTTGGTGGGATATATATGTATGCAGTTGCACAACATGCAGATAGTGGAAGGGAAGGAAGGTGGTGTTACTTTTAGAGGAAACTGCACACAATCTTATGAGTAATCTCTACTAATTATTAATTAATCGAAGATTAGAAAATCACAAAGATTTAGTTGTAATTATCCAATATAATAAAAGCATCACTTTAGATAGACGCCAACTGAATCTTTTTTTAATTTTGTGTTGGATTGTCTTTAAAATTTATATAATTGATAAGTGTGTTTTACACACTTATTTTGATCACGAAACATGGATAAATGTTGATAAATATATTGGAATACAACTTAGCTCTATTTAATCTATGCTTTGCAGGACAACATTGATGAATGTGGCAGAAATTTGGAGAAACAAGGAAAATGGACTAAAATGAAAGAAAATCAAAGTTCATGAACCAAGATGCAAATAATTGAAAGATGACCCAGAAGAGCAATTGAAGTCCTGGAGATTTCAAAAACAAATTGAGCAATGGAATGAAACATTGGAAGAAGAAGAAATGTGAAAAGAGGTCGAGAATTGCGAAACGAAGTTCGATGAACAAAATGCAAGATTTTGGAAGTTAGTATTCCAAGGCCAGGTTGAAGTGTTCTATGCGGTCGCATAGTGCAACTTTGGTGAAAAATTTCTGGTTTCGCTGTACGTGTGAAATTTTTGTGGAAACAAAATCTTGGGACATTTAAAAAACCCTAGAGTCGTCCCGACGTTAAAAAAAGAAAGGACATTCTAAGAGGCTTTTGGAGCAGAAAACGAGCCAAGAACACAAAGATTAAATCCCAGAACACGACCAAATTCAAGAAGTATGTTGAGCGATGTTGATTTGTCAATATTCTTTTTGTTTTCTTCTTCATAACATATTAGGCTGGATTTATTCGTGCTATGAGAATGATAAACTATGTAATATAGATTTTTAATCTTTAGTTTTACATTCTTGACAGCAAAAGCACGTTTTTGGATATTAAATAATTCATATGATTTTTTTTCCACAATTATTGTATACGTTAATTGTGTGAATTTGGTGTCTTATTTCATGCATTCGAAAGAAGGGGAAAATGTTCGACATATATAAATTGTCATAGGGTCCGATAAGGGATAAAAATATACCATTATATTTTATGTGAATATTTAAATGTTCATAAAAACGCATGCATTTTTGTATATTCGCATATGTCATAGAGATATAGTCGGGTCATATATGAGAATATGTTTGACATTAGTCGAGATAGTGTTGAATAATTTAAGAACATTGATTCGTCAATATTTCACCGTGTTGTCAAAGTGTAGAATTGAGTTTAAAAAGAATTATTACATAGATATTTGTGATCCTAGTACATTCATCGTAAATTAAAACGCTCCAATTTATATTGAACACCGTTTGCATTTAATTTTGTTAATTTATTTTTAATTGCATACTTAATATTATTTTAGTTATAATTTCATTACAACAAACATGGCATTTCATTCTAGTTTCGGTTAAAGTCAAGGTAATAGGAATTGAACTAATCAATCTTCATGGGACGATATTCTAATTTAAAATTCACTTGTTAACGAACCGTACACTTGCGGTGATTCGAATTCAAAATATATTTTTGTGAACTATAACCTCTTGAGATTCTTGAATGGCTTGTAATTCTCTGAGGTGACCCTTTGGACGAGTGTTCGGTTGAGATATTGTTGCCGATATTAATTTGCACGTTGATTACTGAGTTATATGTTGTAATCTATTTGAAATTATTAGATGTAATCACTGAGTTGTGTCGTAATTCATTTGAAACTAGCACACAGAATTTGTTTGTGTTGTCGTGCCAAATAATAAAGACGAGAAAATGAGAATAATATAAAAAATAATGGATCACACAAGAACACAAGACTTACGCGGAAGGTAGAAAAATTTCAATATTCCAAGAAATTAAAATTGTTTTACAAGATTTAATACTATAAATCTAAATATAAACAATTTTCACAAGTTTCTAATGTATAAAACAAAGATCTTATTATTAGTTAAACATGTTGTGAAACGCTGAAGATGCCGAATAACTCTGATACCAATTTGTTGAAGACGGTACAAGATTATAAGCATAATATAATCTGTAGAATAAAGGAAATTTTACTAAAATATGGAGAATGAATTACAATAATTTGTATTTACAATTTGTCTAATTAAGGGGATAAACAAACCTCCAATAACGTTAAACCAACATATAATGAGGTTAACAAGACATAATGGGGTAAAATCGATCCAACTAAATTATAGAAAAGAGTCAAATATAAATAACGAACAATTCAAACCTAAAAGTAGAGTTGCTGATGAAATGGAATGCCCAAAAATTTCTAGTGGTCTATGGACTGAGCGATTGGCCATAACACAACTAGTTGATTTCTATAGAAAAAGGAATTTCACACATGGGCAATAAAGTGCTGCTCAAGTACTTAGTTAATCGATAGGAACAACTGGATTAAAAAAGTCCTAAGAATCACCATGAGATATATAGGTAAGTAATTGAAGCACTAATATGCATCAGGTAATTAAAAAAACCTGAAGGATCTTCCACTACAAATGAAATCTTTGTTGTCAACTTGATACATACAACAAATCGTTTATAGTGCTCAAAAAAATCATAAAAAACGAAATCCACCTTATCAACCGGATACATTTACAAACGGCAGAGATGTGACCTGCCCAAATTTGATGTAGTCCACAAGGTGAAAAAAGAAAAAAAAGGAAAGCTGGAATTAGAAGTGTTAACCATATGAGAATAATCTTGAAATGACCCATTCAAGACAACCCTTGACGTGGCGCGCATTCTTGTCAAGCTTAAAATTTTGGTAATTAAATTCAAAATTATAGCTAGGCTCAAATAAAGTAACGTTTTCTATATATATCTAAACGATACATCTTCCTTCAAACGTTTTCACATTTATCACATTCTGAAATCCGTCATTCTATCCATCAATTTGGGCAATTTCTCATTAACGCTACAATAATATATCCTGCCAATAATTCTTCTATGTAACATCGACATTGCCATCAAAATCTCTCAAAGCGTGGGCACAATTGAAACCCTAATCAGAAATGTGTAACCCTAACTAGCAATCCGTCATATTTGGCTTCAGTATCTTTTTCATTACAGACTAAGAAATTAACCCCAACACTTAATGATTTTCACTCATTCCTAATATATAAGCTTAATAGTGGTCATCTATTATGAATGCTATTTTCAATCGATGCTTGGAAATGATGAAAATGCTTGAGGAAAGGCAAAAACTAACCCAAAAAATTGCAATTTAATTAGTTGAAATTGCCACAAAAATAAATACAAAATTTGAATACATTAATCCAAAACTTAATTCAAGAACCACGCCTAGCTAGTTATAGTTACAATGCTTCAAAAGCAGCTCCAATCGCAAACATGTCATAATCTACACAAGAACTACACATTCCATCCGTGCAGCAGCCACACTCATCCCACTTTCTATCATTTTTCCTTCTCTTTATTGATGCCAGTGCAGATTCTTGAATTTTCATTCCTATTTGCACTGCAGCTGGCTTAGCATCTTCATCTACCCATTTATTATCTTTCGGGATCATCACAACCCAATTTTCAATTTCCATATTTGGCGATAAAAAAACATTTTTCCACGGAATCTCAGCTCTTCCCAAGAGTTTTGAGCCGTTGATTCGGCCAATGAATGGTGCAGTGCTTCTCCACCGGAGCTCGAAAACTACACTTCCTTGTTTGAGCAAGGAAATGGAGTCCTCATCACTTCCCGAGCAGTCCAAAGAGAAAGTTTTATTCCAAATCAAATCAGATTTTGTTGGGATTTGTTGGGTGTTTATTTGGACTCTTTTGTTGTTTCCTGCAGACAGATAGCATCTAACAAATACTTCTCCCTGGGGTTTGAGATCTATATTTTTAGCTCCAATGATTCTGATTTCACAGCTTATCGAAGAAGAATAAGACTGATACCCCATATCTGTGTGTGTATGCAAGAGAGAGTTCTTTTTGATGATGAGAAGTACTGTGTTTCTTGGTGGGCTAGAGACAGAGAGTTCAGATGAAGAGAAGGGCATTGCTTGGTGGGATATATATGTATGCAGTTGCACAACATGTAGATAGTGGAAGGGAAGGAAGGTGGTGTTACTTTTAGAGGAAACTGCTTACAATCTTATCAGTAATCTCCACTGATTATTAACTAATCGAAGATTTGAGGACTAAAATAACAAAGATTTAGTTGTAATTATCCAATATAATAAAAGCATCACTTTAGATAGACGCCAACTGAATCTTTTTGTAATTTTGTGTTGGATTCTCTTTAAAATTTATATAATTGATAAGTGGTTTTACACATTTTGATCATGAAACATAGATAATTATTGATAAATATGTTGGAATATAACTTAATTCTATGTAATTTGTATTTTGCAGGACAACATTGATGAATGTGGTGAAAATTAGGAGAAACGAGGAAAAAAAGACTAAAACGAAAGAAAATCAAAGTTCAAGGACCAAGATGCAAATAATTGAAAGATGACCCGGAAGAGGAATTGAAGACTTGAAGATATGGAAGACAACTTGAGCAACGGAATGAAACCTTGGAAGAAGAAGAAGAAGAAGTGGGAAAAGAGGTCGAGAATTACGAAACGGAGTTCGATGATCAAAATGCAAGATTTTGGAAGTTAGCAATGTTATGCGGTCGCATAGCGCAAAAAACCTATGCAGTCGCATAGGTTGCTTCAAGGAATTCCAAGGCCAAGTTGAAGTGTTCTATGCAGTCGCACGCTAATGAACTATGTGGTCGCATAGTTCAACTTCGACACGAAATTTCTAGTCTCCTTGTACGCGTGAAATTCTTATGGAAACAAAATCTTAGGATGCTATTTAAACCCTAGAGCCGTCCTAATGTAAAAAAAAAAAACATTCTTAGGTAGAAAACGAGCCAAGAACACGAGAACAAATTCAAGATGGATATTGAGTGATGTCGATTTTTCAATGTTCTTTTTGTTTTATTCTTCATAACATGTTATGCTAGATTTATTCGTGTTAGGAGAAAGATGAATTATGTAATATAAATTTTTAATCTTTAGTTTCACATTTTTTGACATCAAAAGCACATTTTTGGATATTGAATAATTTATATGATTTTCTTTTCTCCACAATTATTGTACACGTTAATTGTGTAAATTTGGTTGCTTATTTCATGCATTCGAAAAAAAGTGCATATGTTCGACATATATAAATTGTCATAGGGTCTGATAGAAGATATAAATTGTATGTTCGCATCCGTCATAGAGATATAGTCGGGTCATATATGATAATAGATTTTACATTACCCGAGAAAGAGTGTTGAATAATTTAGGAACATTGATTCGTCAATATTTCACTGTGTTGTCAAAGTGTAGAATTAAGTTTAAAAAGAATTATTACATAGAGATTCGTGATCCTAGTACATTCATCGCAAATTAAAACACTTCAACTTACATTTAATGGCGTTTGCATTTAATTTAGCTAATTTATTTTTAATTGCTTACTTAGTATTATTTTAATTATAATTCCATCACAACAAACACGTCATTTTATTCTAATTTCGATTAAGATCAATGTAATAGGAATTGAACTAATCAATCTTCGTGAGACGATATTCGGACTCAAAATCCACGTTATTCATTGTTAACGAACCATACACTAGCGGTGATTCGAATTGGAAATATATTTTCGTGAACAATAACCTCTTGGGATTCTTGAAGTGCTAGTAATTCCCTGAGGTGACCCTTTGGATAAGTGTTGAGTTAAGATATTGTTGCCCATACTAATTTGCACGTTGATTATTGAGTTATGTGTTGTAATCCATTTGAAATTATTAGTAGTAATCACTAAGTTGTGCTGTAATTCATTTGAAACTAGTACACAGAATTTTTTGTGTTGTAGTGCCAAATAATAAAGATGAGAAAATAAGATTAATATAAAAAATAACGAATCACGCAAGAACACGAGACTTACGTGGAAGATAGAAAAATTTCAATATTCCAAGAAATTAAAATTGTTTTACAAGATTTAATACTCTAAATCTAAATATAAACAATCATCTTAAGTTTCTAATGTATAAAACAAAGATCTTATTATTAGTTAAACCTGTTGTGAAACGCGAACAATGCCGAATAACTCTAATACCAATTTGTTGAAAACAATACGAGATTATAAGCATAATATGCAGTGAATATCACAAGCTCAAAAGAAAAAAATATAATTTGTAGAATAAAGGAAATTTTACTAAAATATGAAGAAAGAATTACAATAATTTGTGTTTACAATTTGTCTAACTAAGTGGATAAACAAACCTCCAATAAGTTTAAACCAACATATAATGAGGTTAACAACCCATAATGGGGTAAAATCGACCCAACTGGATTGTAGAGAAGGGTCAAATATATATAGCAAATAATTCAAGTCTTAGAAGTAGAGTTGTAGATGAAATAGAATGCTCAAAAGTTTCTAGTGGTCTATGCACTGAGCGATTGGCCGTAACACAACTAGTTGATTTCTATAGAAAAAGGAATTTCACACATGGGCAATAAAGTGCTGCTCAAGTACTTAGTTAATCGATAGGAACAACTGGATTAAAAAAGTCCTAAGAATCCCCATGAGATATAGGTAAGTAATTGAAGCACTAATATGCATCAGGTAATTAAAAAAACATGAAGGATCTTCCACTACAAATGAAATCTTAGTTGTCAACTTGATACATACAACAAATCGTTTATAGTGCTCAAAAAAATCATAAAAAACGAAATCCACCTTATCAACCTGATACATTTACAAACAGCAGAGATGTGACCTGCCCAAATTTGATAGGAGATTAATCTTGAAATTAGAAGTGTTGAAACCATATGAGATTAATCTTGAAATGACCCATTCAAGGACAACCCTTCACCTGGCACGCCATTCTCGTCAAGCTTAAAATTAGATTAATTAAATTCAAAACTATAGCTAGATTCAAATAAAGTAACATTTTCTTTTTCTATATATCTAAATGATACATCTTCCTTCAAACGTTTTCACATTTATCACATTCTGAAATCCATCATTCTATCCTTCAATTTAGACAATTTCTCATTAAGGCTACAATAATATATCCTGCCAATAATTCTTCTATGTAACATCAGCATTGCCATCAAAACCTCTCAAAGAGCGGGCGTAATTGAAAACCTAATAAAAAACGTGTAACCCCAACTAGAAATCCGTCATATTTGGCTTCAGTGTCTTCATCATTACAGACTAAGAAATTAACCCCAACACGTAATGGCTGTCACTCGTTCCTAGTGTATATTAAATGCTTAATAGTCGACATCTATTATGAATGCTACTTTCAATCAATGCTTGGAAATGATGAAAATGCTTGAGGAAAGGCAAAAACTAAATGAAAAAATTGCAATTTAATTAGATGAAATTGCCACAAAAATAAATACAAAATTTGAATACATTAATCCAAAACTTAATTCAAGAACCAAGCCTAGCTAGTTAAAGTTACAATGCTTCAAAAGCAGCTCCAATTGCAAACATGTCATAATCTACACAAGAACTACACATTCCATCCGTGCAGCAGCCACACTCATCCCACTTTCTATCATTTTTCCTTCTCTTTATTGATGCCAGTGCAGATTCTTGAATTTTCATTCTTATTTGCACTGCAGCTGGCTTAGCATCTTCATCTACCCATTTATTATCTTTTGGGATCATTACAACCCAATTTTCAATTTCCATATTTGGCGATAAAAAAACATTTTTCCACGGAATCTCGGCTCTTCCCAAGAGTTTTGAGCCGTAGATTCGGCCAATGAATGGTGCAGTGCTTCTCCACCGGAGCTCGAAAACTACACTTTCTTGTTTGAGCAAGGAAATGGAGTCCTCATCACTTCCCGAGCAGTCTAAAGAGAAAGCTTTATTCCAAATCAAATCAGATTTTGTTGGGATTTGTTGGGTGTTTATTTGGACTCTTTTGTTGTTTCCTGCAGACAGATAGCATCTAACAAATACTTCTCCCTGGGGTTTGAGATCTATATTTTTAGCTCCAATGATTCTGATTTCACAGCTTATCGAAGAAGAATAAGACTGATACCCCATATTTGTGTGTGTATGCAAGAGAGAGTTCTTTTTGATGATGAGAAGTACTGTGTTTCTTGGTGGGCTAGAGACAGAGAGAGTTTAGATGAAGAGAAGGGCATTGCTTGGTGGGATATATATGTATGCAGTTGCACAACATGTAGATAGTGGAAGGGAAGGAAGGTGGTGTTACTTTTAGAGGAAACTGCATACAATCTTAAGTGTAATCTCCACTAATTATTAATTAATCGAAGATTAGAGGTCCAAAATCACAAAGATTTAGTTGTAATTATCCAATATAATAAAAGTATCCAATTGAATCTTCTTGCAAATTTTGTGTTGGATTATCTTTAATTTGATATAACCTCTTGGGATTTTCGAAGGGCTAGTAATTCTTCGAGGCGACCCTTTGTATAAGTGTTGAGTTACAATAACATTAATTTGCACGTTGATCACCGAGTTACATATTGTAATCCATTTGAAATTATTAACTTTTTAAATATATTGCTTTCTACACGTTCAGAAGAATAATTCTATTGAATCACGTAATTCTACATTTCGTTAAGTATATCGCTTAGCACCACATAAACTAGTGTTGTAACCTCAATGGTTCTGAATATCATTATTCCATTGTAGCACCAGTTGAAAATTCAGCATGAGTAGAGGAAAATATAGTATGTCTGATACAAATTGAAACCTATGGTGGCACCACAAAAATGAAGATGGCAAATGAAAAGTTGTCTTCCATAAGGAGTCAATTTTCCTACACATCTCAGAAATAAAATGAAGGGCCCACGGAATATGTTGAGCGTATATAGATTTGGCTTTACATAGGATGGATTTTCTAGGGGCGTACATAGATTTGGCTTTACAAAGGATGGATCTTTTGGGGCCTATCTATTATACGGTGATTTGCCATTAAGTTGATTTCTAGAGAGAGAGCAGATTGAGATGTGGGCAATAAAGTGGTGCT